TATCGAGTTCCAACAAAATAAATAATTATTATCTTTATAAAAAAATTATATTATTAAACCAAATATAAATTATTTCGTTATTGTACATAAATTAAATTATAAAAAATTGAATTAAAAATTTACACAAAAAAATAAGGAATTTCAAATAGTTAATTTGATACTAATATGGATATATTTTTGTCAATTTTTTATGATATCTTCAAACATATATTTTATTCAAAAATAAAAACATTATCGCTTTCTCAAAATCACATAAAGCCATATTATAATATCGACTGAGATAAAGAAGAAAATGAAATATTAAAATCATGATGTATCTCGCTGCATTGCGCGAGTACGCTTCTAGTATATATATATATATATATATATATATATATATTATATGAAATTGGTTTATTTTATTATTACTAGTGATTTTTCAAATGTCCAAAGAGTAAAAAAAAAAAAAGGGTATTCAAGATATTTAATAGATAATTACAAAAAGAGTCCCTCAAGTATGGTGAAACTCTAATTATCGTCACTAACGTTTGAAAATTATAAAGATGGCTATCAATAATTTATTTCGTTGCAGTTTTGGTCCATAGTGGTTAGGACCGTTAGCTACTGTCATTAAATGAACGAAATTTTGGATTTTTTTTTCTTTTTCTACTACAAAAAATAGTGTACAAGTAGTTATTAAATATAGACAAGTCATTAAAGAGTTTATTAGAAAAACAAAATATATACCATATATCTGATTCCTTTCTTAAAAAGAACTCCCAATTGTTTTTCCCCTAACAAATATCAACTTTCAGTTTTCCAATTCCTCCTCCCAACTACATCTGATACTATTACATGATTAAATATACAAGTTATTAAGAATTCATCAAATAATTATAATGGCAAAATCAAAGCATTTCTATAGCTTCTTTCGTTGTATAGGTGCTTTTCCTCTTACATATGATATTGCTCTATGTAAAGGGAAGGCAAACGATGGGAGGTGGTTTCATGTAAGACCGGTCTGTTTTTGTGAGACCATACATTTACACTTGAAACTTCATAGCAAAATATTATGAATGTAAAGAAAATCCGAACCTTCACAGTGTTTTACTATGAAGTTTCAAGTGTGAAAAATGGTCTCACGGGTCTCACAAAAACATATTGGTCTCCCATGATCCAAGTCAAAATGAGAGTGGAAGAAATTGTAGTTGTCTAAGGAAGTAACAGGTGGTTGGTTTTAGGTTTCATTTTACGTTTATATGAAGATGAAAATGTTATGTTAGGATAAGTTTCAGTTCTATTGGATAATATGGGTTTTGAAGGGGAATGACAGAGGAGTTGGAGTTGGGGGTTGCATGTATGTGGGACACCGACAAAAGGCCGGATTAAAGGGAAGGGAAGAAGATTGGGGGCAGGTTCATGTGGAGGGAAAAGTTTAGATTAGATTTTACGTTCGTTTTAATGACTTGTCACATTCTTTACACTGTATTATTAAAATAAATTCAAAACAACCTAAAATATCCCTCAAGTAACTTGCACGTAAAGACATCTAACAGGAGATCAAAACAATCCTAACGACCATGGACCAAAACCACAACAAAAATAAAACCTCCATGACCGTCCTCGTAGTTTCCAAAAGTTAGCAACAATAACGAAACTTTCACCAAACCTCATGGACTATTCTTGCAATTTCCTCTATTTATGAGGGTATAACTTTTACGGGTTGTTGGGAGGAATGAAAGGATCAACAAAACCGTTCTCTCTCTCTCTCTCTACTTCACTCCCTTTCCCCTAATTGTTCGAGAGGCCCAGGTAGATCTCCAGCATCACTTTCTTCATCATTTAATAAACCCTTTAAAAAAACTGTTTTTCTTTTTCTTTCCATTTTCTTATCATTAATCACACCCATTTACAGTAATTTATGTAATTAATTAGGGTTTGAAAAAACCCTCGTTTTGATTGATTCCATCATCATCTAAAAGGAATTTGCATCATTTAGCTGTTTCCTTTTTTATATTCATTTCAACATTTTCCTCCTTTTTTTATTCATATTTCTTCTGGTTTCCATTGTGGGTATCCATATCTAACCAAGACTTTGCTGGATTATCTCATCTTCCTGTGGTTTAGGTTTCATCTTTCTTGATTTTGCTCCAAAACTTCAAGATTCTTATAGTGCAGATATGAGGTGAGCAACTCCAGTTGACTCGAATTTCAAAAGGGTTTCTTCAGAAATGGGGATTGATGTGCTTATAATGAGAACAAGGGTGGTTTTCTTTGTATTTGGTATGTGGGTAGTGGTGGCGGCCGCTATGGAAGATAAGGAGGTGACTGAAATTACAGCAGTTTCATCACCGTCACCGTCACCACCACCACCATCGCCGTCGTCGTCATCAAGAAGACCTAGTGTTGTGAATATTGGAGCTTTATTAACAGTGAATTCAGTTATTGGGAGGTCTGTAAAACCTGCAATTATAGCTGCTGTTGATGATGTAAATTCTAATCCTTTCATTCTTGGAGAAACCCATTTGAATCTCCTTTTACATGATACCAATTGCAGTGGATTTCTTGGCACCGTTGAAGGTACCTCCATTATTATCCTACATTAAACCTCTGTTCATTATATATTTGACTTTTTTCATGTCAAACTGGATACTTCCATTTTCAAATTTAATCTCGTCACACTTGACATTTAAAGGAAAACTCATAATCATATCAAGCATTATACAGATTACTAGCAGCAAGAACGGAATTAATGTTGGAAATGTCGAGAAAACATTCTGTAATTGTGAATTTGACTAATAACAGTTTGGCTTTTGACTTTGATTATGTAGCTTTGCAACTTATGGAGAAAAATGTGGTGGCTGCAATCGGACCACAATCTTCGACCATCGCACATGTTATCTCGCATGTCGTCAATGAGCTTCATGTTCCTCTGCTTTCATTTGGTGCGACCGACCCAACACTCGCAGCTCTCCAATATCCTTATTTTCTTCGAACCACACAAAACGATTATTACCAGATGTCCGCCATAGCCAACCTGATTGAATACTTCGAATGGAAAGAAGTAATCGCTATTTATGTGGACGACGATTATGGCAGAAATGGGATTTCGTCGTTAGGTGATTCACTCGCCAAGAAACGAGCCAAGATTTCTTATAAAGCTGCATTCCCTCCCGGAGCTCCGGTGACGGACATCGGTGATTTACTGACCGAAGTTAATCTAATGGAGTCTCGTGTTTATGTTGTTCATGTGAATCCTGATTCAGGTCTGGAAATTTTCGCCATTGCTAAGAAGCTTGGGATGATGAATACTGATTACGTCTGGATCACCACAGAATGGCTTCCCGCGGTTCTTGATTCATCGGAAACGCCGGATTCCGATACCATGGCTCTCTTACAAGGCGTTGTGACCCTTCGCCAACATACTCCGAATTCGAATTCGAAAAAGAAGTTTGCTTCAAGATGGAAGAACATCAAACAGAAGGAAACATCTAGTTTTAATTCTTACGCTCTTTATGCTTATGATTCCGTTTGGTTACTCGCCAATGCTCTCGATACTTTCTTGAAAACCGGCAAAAATATCACGTTTTCTTTGGACCCGAAACTTCAAAACACCACCGGAAGCGAGCTCCGGTTGTCGTCACTCCAAACGTTCAACGAAGGTCCGCAGCTGCTCAAAATACTTTTATCGACGAAGTTCACCGGTTTGACGGGCGAGTTCCGGTTTGATCTGGACAAGAATCTGATTCATCCGGCTTACGATATTCTTAACATCGGTGGAACCGGCTTACGAACCCTCGGATATTGGTCAAACTACTCGGGTCTATCCATTAGTTCTCCGGAATCATTGTATGCAAAACCTCCCAACAGTTCTACGAGCACTAAACATCTTTATAGCGTAATTTGGCCCGGTGAAACGAGTTCAACACCTAAAGGATGGGTGTTTCCAAACAACGGGAAACCGTTGCGGATTGCGGTGCCGTATCGGCATAGTTATAAGGAGGTTGTAACGAAAGATGTTCGGTCTCCACAAGGGGTTAGAGGGTATAGCATCGATGTTTTTGAAGCCGCGGTGACTTTATTACCGTACCCTGTACCTCGGAAATATATTCTCTACGGAGATGGCATTCGAAACCCGAGTTACAGCAATCTTGTGGCTGCTGTTGCTGAAAATGTAAGTTCTTGCTTCTTCCATGGGGCGGGTCATTTAGGAACCATAAATATTTCGAGGACCTCGAAACCAACTATTCGTGATATCATGAATATCTATCATGATTCTCGTTATGAATAATGCAAATGCATGATATGATTGAATAATATTCGAGGTTCTTAATCATGAATACTTCATAATATTCATCATCATGATTGATGAATATGATGAATAGCATTTTTAATTATAAGGTTATTCATTGTGAATAATTCATAATGTTTCCCTTCTTCTATGACACTTGTCTGATGCTGATATCATAAATTTGGCTTGTTCTTCAGAAATATGATGCAGCAGTTGGAGATGTGACGATTATTACGAATCGAACACGGATAGTTGACTTTACTCAGCCTTACATGGAATCGGGGCTTGTTATAGTTGTTCCGGTCAAGAAATCGAAGACCAGTCCATGGGCTTTTCTCAAGCCATTCACCATTGAAATGTGGCTCGTCACCGGTGGCTTCTTTTTGCTCGTTGGATTCGTTGTTTGGATTCTCGAGCACCGTCTGAATCACGAGTTCCGTGGGCCTCCGAGTCAACAAATCATTACAATCTTCTGGTTTAGTTTCTCAACCATGTTCTTTTCACATAGTAAGTATGAATCTTGTTTACTCTCCCAAGTTCTATTCTAATTTTACACGAAACATGAATTTCCTTCTGATTTGTTCTTCGATGGATATGATCCTGTTCTTTTAAATATTAGGATATGTAGAACCCCTTTAAATTATCTCTAAAAGAGCCCGAGAGCCCGTATGGAGAGAGTGGAGGTTCCTTTATGTGTGTATATATAGAGAGAGGGGTTCAGGGAAAACCCCAAAAGAACAAACAACTAAGGAACACCCTAGTAACCATTCATCTGTACGCATGCACATGTATATACAAGGAATTGAAGATGTTTTATGGTTTCCATGCGCGTATGCATGTTTCACATGTGCTAACCGGACAAATTACTTGTATGCACATGTGCACATCGTACGGATCAATGGTTATAAGGGTATTCCTCAGTTTTTTATTTTTTGTTGTTTTCTCTTGAACCTGACCCTATATACACACACATGGGTTTGTTGGTCCATATCTAACTGACGAGGGAGCCCAACATGCCCCCTCAAATGGTGGTGGAAGTGTGTGTATAGTAGACCTTAACTCTGATACCATGTTAGGATATGTAGAACCCCTTTGAAAACCAAATAAGCTCATTATATCCATCCGACTATCCAAGATGGGGTCTTTGGGGGGGGGGGGGGGGGGGGGGGGGTTAAGACAA